ATCTTGGCTCTTGTTCATGCTGTAGACTGGCTCAAGTCCAGCTTGCCTCCAGACCCAGCCCACACTTATGCTTGTGGGTGCTGCAGCCCAGCCCGGCCTGTCCCCAGGCCCACTTTCATGCTTACTAGCAAAGGCTGCAGTCCTTTTTTTTTTTTTTTTTTTTTTTTTTTTTTCTGACAGAAAAGTTTGTTTGCGAAGGGACCAGGTGAGCAGGGAAGGGAAAGGGAAGGGAAGCACCTCTGGAGAGAAAGCCAGGAGGTGGAGTGCCTCTCGAAAGAGGGAAAGATACCCAGAAGCTGCAGTCTAACAGGGGAGTCCGCCTACCGAGCCAGCTCCCCGCTCTTGATCTCATGTGTGCCAGCAGGTGCTGTTGCCTAGCTTGACATAGCTGGCTCCCAGTCCTTGCACTCACCAGCAGGTACTGTGGTCTAGCCAGATTGGCCTGTGCCCATTCTGGCTTTTACCAGTGGGTGCTTCAGCCTATCTCAGCCTGGCTCACCCCCAGACCTGGCTCTCATGTGACCCAGCCAGTGTTGCGGCCTAGTCCATCTCGTCCCATACCCTTTCTGACTCTCATGGGCACCAGCAGGTGCTTGAACATAGTTTGGACCATCTTTTACTCCTTTCCCAGACCATAAATCAGAAATGGAGCATCAAGGACTCAAACCATTCCCTACATGGATGCCAGCACCACAGTCAGAAGATTAGCTTGTTATACCACCATGCCAGCCACTCTTCATTCATTTATTGTTATGTCTTTGAAAGGCAGAATTAGAGAGATGGAGGGAGAAGACAGAGAGACAGTGAGTCAAAAAAAAAAAAAAATCAGGAGACCTTAGTTCAAGTCTTGGTTAAATCAATTTTTAGGGATTTTAGGTTTCTCATCAGTGAAATGGAGATCATATCTGCTTTACACAATTACATGAAGATTAAATCAGGTGAACTATGTAAGAGCAGTTTGCAAATTTGAAGCAATGTACAAGTATGCGCATATCTTGAATGCTTTGACTTAAAAGGCAAACCCATGTTGACATGCAACATCAGAGTACGTAGTGCATCTTGAATGGTCTTGAGTGTTTTTATGAAAATTAGGGACGGAGGTGACCACGGACAGTGTCCTGAGGCCAGCAGTTGGAACACTGAGGTTAGGTGCTTCACATTGGCAACAGCCACTGAAGTAAATAAAGAAATGGTTAGAGTTCTCCCTACAGAGTGCAAAATGTTGCTAAGGAATTAGCGCCTACCTGTTCTATGTCCAGAGCAGCACAGGGCCTATGCAGGTAATGGGTGCTCGACAGCAACCTGCCTAATGAATTGGGAAAGAAAGCCCAGGACGATGTTCCTAAGAGAAGGGCTTGTGACTGTGCCTCACAGGGAATTCAAATATGGTTCTCCAAAAGGAACACAGGCCTTAAGATTTTCACTTCCCAAGCCACTCTAGAGTTTCATTTTGGACTTTATGTTGAATGTCAAGCTGCTCACTTTATGTTGAATGTCAAGCTGCTCAAATTCACATAAACTTAGAAGATCTCGCTCGATTTAACTTTCAAGATGCCTTTAAACTGTGTATCACTGGTAAAAACAAACAAACAAAAAACAACATCAGGGAGTTTGAATCTCAGGGCTAAGTGTGATACTAAGTTATTTTAAAACATTTTCTTCAGACATAAATACAAACAATTTACACATCTTAAGTTCCTAAAAGAAAGTGGTGATAGTGCCAACTGCCTAACTCCCACAGAGCCATTCTGCAAGACCGCTTTCCCTAACCTGGATAGGATTTCGGGCACCTGGATTTAAGGCTCTCGTGGACAACTTCTCAGTGCATGTACACCCTCTCTCATTGGGCATGCAGTGCCTCTATCTTTAGGAACATTTACCAACACCTTAACTCCTAACACTGAAGGTAATGACATTTTGAATCTACCAGCTAACAAGGGAGTTAAGTTTGCTGTTTTAGGTTGAAAACTAACACTGTTCTCCATGCACACCAGTAGTTCAGAAACTGTCTTGGTTTACGTGTGAAGTAGACCACGTGGTGGGATATCAACTCACCAAATAAAAATAATCAATTCACTAGGTCACATTCCAGTCAAGAACCTGGACATTTTTATGTTCCTTCTGACACTGGAAAGGGCATTTGTTATCTCCACTTTGTGCTCCTGCTATTCTAATGATCTTGAATTAAAGTAGGACCACATTTTGCTGTCCAGTTACTTTAAAAACATTACAACGCATTCCTAGTAGTTATGCAAAGTGTGCACCAGCAAGGTCTCTTGGCCCCTTTTCATGTGTTTATGGATATCAGACACCTCATGAAATTGTTGGCCTTTTAATGACCTTGAATATTACTTATTATGAGAAATGAAACCTTAATAGCACAGACACATAGGAGGTCCCCCTCAATCCTAATAACGCTTCTTTGGGTATTTTTCCATCATTTGTAATCTAAAATATTAACATTCCTCCATATTTTTGTAGGACAGAAAGTTAATTTTATTTATTTATTTATTTATTTAAAAGATTTATTTTTATTATTTTGTTATTGGAAAGGCGGATGTACAGAGAGGAGAGACAGAGAGGAAGATCTTCCATCTGATGATTCACTCCCCAAGTGAGCCGCAACGGGTCGATACTATGCCGATCCGAAGCCAGGAGCCTCTTCTAGGTCTCCCACGCGGGTGCAGGTTCCCAAAGCTTTGGGCCGTCCTCGACTGCTTTCCCAGGCCATAAGCAGGGAGCTGGATGGGAAGCAGGGCCACCAGGATTAGAACTGGTGCCCATATGGGATCCTGAGAGGGACTTTAGCTACTAGACAGAGCACTCAAACAATTCTTTTCTAAACCCATCTATTGAATTAGGGCTGAGAAATCTGATTTAATCTAACTCAATGACTCCATTTTACAAATGAAGACATGTGAAACTAATTGGAACCTAGGTTCTCTGGCTTTGAGGTCGATGTTCTTCTAAGAACACAAAGATTGCTAGATTGTGCAGCAATACCAAAACAGGACAAAGGATTTCCAATGGTAGTTTTGGGTGCTTTTTATCAATATATGAGAATTTGACACGTTTCCACAAATCATCCCAAGGTTATAGTTGAAAGGTGACCTTGTCATACAGTAGTCCCTACTTATTTCAGGAGTATATGCTGGAACACTCCCAGTGGATATGCAAAACTGCAGATATCACTGAACTATATATATGTATTTGTATACACACATATACATTTTTCTTATTCATACACGTAAGTAGAACAATTACAACAATCACTATTCCTGTGCTTCGAAGTCATTATTAAATAAAATGAGGCCCTTGACTACAAGCACTGTCAAACTCTGACACTTGGGCAATCTGACAACTGAAGATTGTTATGTGATTAACAGGCAGGTGGGATATGCAACGTGGATACAGGACAACAGGATGAGCAAGAAGCTGTGAGAATTATCATAATATTCAGAACACTGGGGAATTTAAAACGTATGAACTGTTTATTTCTGGAATTTTCCATTTAATATTTGTAGACCACAGGTTAACTGAAACCACAAATTTCAAATTGTTCTAAAGAGGGGGACTATCACACCAAAATAAAACGAAGACCTTCCCACACCACACAAATACTGTATTCAAAGCTTCTGTGAAGGTATTCAATAGGGAAAAATTAGGACTAAGCAAAGAACTTCCAGTTTTTATTTTTTAAGCACTATTTAACAAGAAAAACATTCAATCAAATTTAAGAAAATTAGGATGGCTTAATTTACAATAAAATAACCAGCCTAAAATAACCCTTTCATTTAGGGCCACGGAGGCCAACAATTTTAAACAGCAGAATTGCACAATTGATGCTTTTACCCATTTACGATGACAAATGACAAAGAAATACAAATTCCATTCAACTTCCACTGACATCCATCCCTTCTCTTCAGAGTAGGGTTCACACATGCGCTTTAGGTCAGTACTTGAGCTTTTCAAATCAATTACATTTTGAAATACAGCTATAGCTACTCTGATAATCAGAACATTTTAACAATTCTTATAGAAAACAAATACCTTAAAAAATTTGTGTGGCACATTAAACTGTTTAAAGAAATAGCAAAGATGAAAAATAATGTACAACCATTATAGTCCCCTTTTCTGTTTTCCCTAATTAATTATTACTGCTTCTTATAACTTAGTAGCAGAGATGAATTATAAGAAGCAGATGCACCATGTTTTGATTCTTGGATGTAGCTGCCAGCTTAAGAGTTCATGACTGTAAATATGAAGCAAACTGCTAATGTTCACAAATTCTGGAATGGGAAAAATTAATCTCTCTCAAAAGTTTTGGTCTATCTTGGCTTTCAAGTCATGACAAAAAAAATTCACAGCAGTTTAAAGAATGATGAAATACTAAATGTGGCATCCACTAAAATAAAACTGATTACTTTCATTTGTTATAACCCTAAAGTGAAAATTGTAGTAAGTATGCTTTTGTGTTACCAAGTAAAACTCTATAGTAAGCCGCTGGAGCAAAGACAGCATTTAACGGATTCATTTACAGATCAGGCATGGCAGCCTTCAGATAGAATATCCTCTTTTCACACTTCTAAAGGTGTAACCTTTAAGAAAAAGACAAAAAACCACCATAAAGGAATATGTAATTTAGGGTAGCTGGCGAGGCACTTAACTTGGGGGAAGTGAGTGAGATTTTTGAGGTAAATTAGAATTCTTTTCAGCAACCACAAACATCATCTAAGGACCACATTTTATTTCAAACTAATTATTCAGCTTTTAACTCTGCCACTCTATTGTGCCAAAATTCACACTTAGGTATAACTTCTTAGGAAGCTACTGGAAGAACATTTTCAGGTCTCTGAATCTTGGCTCCTTTTTGATACTTCTGTGCTTACATAGTTGAGAAAGCTGTAAAAGGTACATACATACAAGGGCCTGAATGAGTAACCATCTTTGTCAGTAATTTGACATTAAATTTGAGATTTTTTTTCAGAAGGAGTCACCCAGCAGTTACACACTCAGCCTTTCTCTGGTCAGGAAAATCACAGAGCAATGCTCTGAAAGAACAGGAGAAGCAGTTGCACAAAGTGACCATTTTGGAATTAGTCTTTTATCAAAAGTTATCCAAGTCTGTTTTTCACTAAAATTACCAGCATCTTGTCTGCTAAGCGAAATGCCATGCCTCGGGATTCTTATAACGATTTATGTATTTTTCATTGCTTTTCAAACAGCACTTTCAATCCAAAGCTACCTCTTATTCTGAATAATCTTACCAGCTTTCATGATCAGCAGATAAAATCATCAATCCTATTTTAATGTCAAACAACATCATGAGTAAAGAAAAAATTTTTTAAAAACCCACTGGAGGCATTTTCTAAGTCTTAACAAGATGAGGAAATACATTGGACTAGAATTTCCATGTGGCTAAAATTGGGTCTAAACAACTTTATTTATAAAGACTTCTAAACTGATCAACCTTGGACTACCACGTTTCTCTAGGCATAGCAAAGGACTCAGGCTAACTTATTTTCTGTTTCCTTACAAGATAACGTCAGGAATCTGGCAAAGCTACTTAGCAGGAGTTACTGGTACAATGAGCAGATGTGGAAGGATTTCTCTTTGTGATGCTTAAATGGCTCATTCATTCAAGTTTTGAAACTGACCTTGGTCAACAGCACCATGCTTTACTCAACTGAAATATTCAACTTCCTGTTGCAGGGGAGAAAGGAGGCTGAGGGAGAGTTAAGAAGATAACTGAGAAAAATTATATGCATCATTCAAATACTATATTTGAGGTTTAAAAATCATTCATCACAGCTACTTCCATATCACACTTTTACAATATTTGAACATCTATGAATACAAGACTTTCTGGCATGACCCAAATTTGAATACAAATGGAAGTTCATTGAACATTAGGTTATCAGTAAACTAGAAGAAACAAAATCACATTTTGTAGGCAGTAACCTACAAAAAAGTAGCAATTAGGTAAAAAATAAGTAAAATTATTTGTAACTGTTTCCAGGTTCATCTTGGAGATGAGGGAACCCAAAAACAGTGCCCTGGAAAATGGCGTCAGAAGTGGCATCTGCTATCATATGGTTATCTTTCATAAGTAGATAGTTCACAGACATATCTTAGACATTAATTTTCATGTATAATTATGTGTTTTGAGCCATCTATTCCACTGAAAACACTGTAAAGGAATTCTAAAAATGACTTTTAGGAAAAAAGGCACTTTGACATGAAAGTTGGATTTAATTTCATGAAAGTTCAGAAGATTGGGCTAGACTCAAAAGTTAGTATTCACTTTTGTTATTTATGAATACAGAGCAGATGCCAGTTAATAGTATATAGCCGATAAACCAAACAGCAACATTAACTATATTCTGGGCAAACAGTAATTTATGACATTTCTCTAATAACATAGTTCCAAGTTTAACAGTGAAAAGAAAAATCACCAGCAGTTGCTACTTCAGAGCTCAACACTGTTTCCAACAGAATTTCATGTCTACAGTTTGGTTCTGCTTCAGAGCATAAATTGCTTTTTAGATGAAAAACCTTGGGTGGCAGAGGTGTGTTTGTGTGGACTGGGGGAGAAACCACTGCGGATTAACAACAGGTGCATTTGCATTTCTCTGGTCAGACAACCAAGTGAGGAGGTAGTCAGGCTGAGAACTTCTCAGATGGAGACTATTGTGCTGATCTACTCCGAGCTGGACAAGTAGCAGGAGCTTGTCTGTGAGAATGAAGACAGCGACGGGAATACTTCTCCTCCAGGAAAGTCAGGACCAGGGGATCAGTGCAGCTGAAAGGAGGGTAGGATTTGTGTAAGTGGCAGTGAATGTAAGGAATCAATACCAGTGACTGTTCATATGCAAATTTGTCCTACCTTGAAAGTGGCTCTTTCTGATGATCGAACTTTGTAATAGCTATTAGAACAGAACACATACCATGTCATTATTACTTGGATGTGATAATCCCTCAAGCTCCTGGTGTGAGGAATATGGCTTGCATATATTCATAAAACATGCTTTCTAATTTATAATAACATACACACACATATAAATAAGAGATGTTTTGTAAGATGTCTGAAGAAGTTTATAAGCCAGATACATTCTAAAACAAAACACTGCAGAAATGCTTTGTCAAACTTTGTTTTAAATATCTGTCAAACAAATGGATTGGAACTACATACTACTCGTTTTAACGTTTTGGGGACCATTGTAAAACTTATTTTATATGAGTAAATAGAACATCTTCTTATCTAATTATTGTTTATAGTTCTTACCTATTTTCCTGAACAACCCTGGTCTTGTTTTTTTATTTATTCTTTTAATTTAGTGGAACATTAGGTATTTGACTGAAATATAAACTTAAGCTGTTATCTCAACTAATAAATAAAATATTTAGTTGAAAAACAAAACAAAACAAAAAATTTCAAGTCCTCAGTAATCTCAGGAATGGTATCCTTGGGAAATATTTTATAGCTAAAGGTATGCAGAAACTCAGGTGAAAAGGCAAAAGAGGAAAACAATATAAGCCTGCCTTTGCTGAGTGGTAATCTGTAGTTATGTCAAGAGGCCACAGGCTCACACTCACCTTGTTACATCACCACGCAGGGCAGCCCCATACAACCTTGAGTTCCATCATCACTGCTGTTGAGCTTTTTCATTCGGTACTGGCGTATTTCTCTTACCAGTGTGTAAAAGGCATCTTCAACACCCTATAAAAGAAAAAAAGAAAAAGAACACTGAAGAATTAATTCAAGTTGCAAGCTTCCTCTCATCTCATATTCTTTATGTGAACTTAAAAGTTCCAATCTGATAAAATAGGGTGTTTTAAGAAGATCACAAGTGCAGCAAGTCTTTTGAATCACATTAACCAGTTGATATATAAATGACATCTGTAGAAAAACATTCTTGTAAAGGAAAAAGGATAATGTGGAACATGCAAGACAGAATTACAAGAGCAGTGGTGATAAAAAATGGACTAGTGTTTATATTTTAAACAAGTGTCTTCATTATTGATGCAGGAGTAAAATGCCACACTAGATTACTAAGTACACTTTGGGTTTGAGGAGTAAAACAAACAAACAACAACAACAAAAAAACACAAAACACTACTAAAAGCTACAATGACAAAACACATAGATAACACGTGCCAGAACCTATCAATTTTCTTCTGCCTAAAATAAAACTTGTACAAATGCTGAAAAACCTTACCATACCTGTCTGGTCTTGGCTGAGGTTTCAATGAATGGAATCCCGTAACTCTTGGCCAGTTCATGGGCTTGTTTTGTGTCCACCGTCCTTGTTGGCAAGTCACACTTGTTTCCTACCAGCACCATAGGTACGTCATCTGAATCTTTCACTCGCTTAATCTGTTCCCTGAAACAGGTAATACGTAATCAGAATAGAAAGAAACATAATTTTTCAGGAAGGAATAAAGACTGGCAAATTTTACACATCCCTATTAGCTTCTAGAATCGTTTTATTCTACCCCCCTGCCTCACAGAAAACCCACAGTAGAGAAGACTGGTTTAGACTTGATGTGGCAGGCACAGGGAAGTCATAAGTGCCAGCCTGCCTCCGGGTAGAAGTTGATGGTTAGGGGGCTAATCCTCCACTTGTATAGCCAGCATCCCATATGAGCACTGGTTTAAGTCTCAGCAGCTCCACTTTCAATTCAGTTCCTTCCTAATGTGCCTGGGAAGGCAGCAAAAGATGGCCCAAATGTTTGGGTACCTTTTACCAACATGAGAGACCCAAAAACAGCTACTTGTTCTGGATTGGTTAAGCTCTGGTTGTTGCAGCCATCTGGGGAATAAACCAGCAGATGGAAGATCTTTCTCTCTAATTCTGCCTTTCAAATAAAAATAAGTCTTTTTTTTTTAAAAGATTTATTTTTATTATTTTTTCATTGGAAAGGCGGATATACAGAGAGGAGAGACAGAGAGGAAGATCTTCCGTCCGATGATTCACCCCCCAAGTGAACGCAACGGCCGATCCGAAGCCATAAGCCAGGAGCCTCTTCCGGGTCTCCCAAATGGGTGCAGGGTCCCACAGCTTTGGGCCGTCCTCGACTGCCTTCCCGGGCCACAGGCAGGGAGCTGGATGGGAAGTAGAATATCCGGGATAGAACCGGCGCCCATATGGGATCCCGGGCGTGCAAGGCGAGGACCTTAACCACTGCGCCGGGCCCTAAAAATAAGTCTTAAAAAAAGAGAGAGAGAGAGAGAGAGAAAACATTGATAGCTACTCTACCCCAACATTTATTCTTAGGTTCTCTGAATTTTACTGGTAATTAGAATCGTATCCTAATGATGGTCTGAAGTGTAAGAAGTAAAGCTCAGGGCCTGGTACAGTAGCCTAGTAGTTAAAGCCCTCTCCTTGGGCGCTGGCTTGTGTCCCCACTGTCCTATTTCTCATCCAGCTCTCCGTTTGTGGCCTGGGAAAGCAGCAGAGGTTGGCCCACGGCTTTGAGACCCTGTGTCGGTGTGGGAGACGCAGAAGTGGCTCCTGGCTCTGGATCAACTCAGCTCCAGCCGTTGTGGTCACTTGGGGAGTGAATCAGCAGATGGAAGATTTTTCTCTCTTCTCCTCTCTGTGGATCTGCCTTTCCAATAATAATAAATAAATCTTAATTTAAAAAAAAATAAAGGAGTAAGGTCACTGCCTCTAATTAACTTTTTCAAATTCCCTTAGGAGTGATGGCATTTAAAACTTTCTAAAAAATTGCTTAAAGTTTATTTGCATGTTTTTATTTGAAAGGAAGAGAGATCAAGCACTTTATGGCTCACTTTCCCAATGCCTGCAAGAGCCAGTGGTGGACCAGGTCAAAACCAGGAGTCAACAACAACATCCAGGTTTCCACCGTGAGGGACAGGGTCACAAGTACTTGGAGTGGTCATCCATTGCTTTCCACAACGCTCACGTGGAGGAAGCTGGGTTGGGAGTGGACTGGCTGGGGCCAGAAACATGCACTTGGATCTGGGATGTGGGTTAAGTTACTGCGCCAAATGCCTGCACCAAATACGACAGCATTTAACACAAAATAATCTATCCAGTTTTTCTTCAAATAAAACTACAGGCAGAAGTCTGAAATGTAAGATAGGAAGCAACAGAACTGCTCTGAGTAAGAGAAGCTGAGGCTCTGGCCCTTCCAACTGATAGCATGCCCTCTGTGACTTGTGACAGCTGGTAAGCTACCACAGTGCACAGTACTGCTTCAGATGCTACCCTCAGATTATACACAAAATCACAGACCTGAACTGCACTCACTTGGCTAGCTACAGAACTCTGCTCTACTGTGAGAAAGGGATGATGTGAGACAGCTTAACTACCTGGGCCATATCACTGTGAGGTGACTACTGCTCTCCACATCCAGCGACACTCTGTGTCTGGGGTCTCGTCTCTGCCTTCTGGTGTCAGGATCAATTTTGCTTCTAAACAAATGGTTTGTTTTCAGCATCCGGATACTATGCTGATCTTTCAGTTGGCTACTTTCCTTTTCACAACAACTGTCAAATCTGTAGTCAACACCTAGAAGTTCCTTGTAGACCCATGAAGTTATAGGATAAGATCACATCAAACATTTTTTAATTTTCTGTCTCTTTTTGTTTCACTTCTCAGGCCATGCTATACTACATGTGATTTTACAAGATGCTTTCAATACTCTCTGTTGGGGGTAAGGCACAAATATATAGGCAAACAAGTTAAGTTCACTTGTAAAGAAGAAAAATGACTTCTAGGAATTCAGCAGACATTGATAAGATGTCTGCCAAACACTGAGTAGCCATTCCTCCGCCCAAGGTAGGAGATTCCCAGACCCCGTCTTCTCCTGAGGCTTTCAGCCCACGGCTGCTGAAGTCTCTCATGTACAGTGGGGTAGAGATTAGCATGTAACCTCTGCATATCCTCCCATATACTGTAAATCACCCTTCGATTAATTCTAATTTTTATTCCCACAACAGTGTAAATACTATTGTTTGGATAATGATCACAAGAACAAAAGACTCTAGCTGTTCAGTGGAACTAGTGGCTATGGAGGACTCTGCCACTATTATTTTCAGAAAGAGAAAGTGGGAAATTGAGCAGGTTTAGGAAAAAACACTGAACTCAGTTTTGGACCGGTTAGTCCCTGAGACCAGACATACATAGAGAGCAGGCTAAATATGACTCAAGGAACACAAAACTTGTGGGGAGCATGTACTATATACCAGGCTATATACCGAGTGATGCACTTCTTAACTAGCCTAAACTTCCCAACAACTCTGTGAGGTAGGTACCATTATCTCCACATCACAGAGCAGGAAACCCAGACTTAGCATCTACTCCACAGTCACTCAGCTAATACATGATCAAGCTACATTTTTCAACCCAGGCAGGTCCACATTCTTCACCATCCTATCACTCTTCCTAAAACACCGTGCTAAGAAAAAAGCCCTGGGTTTTCAGTCTAACTCCATCACTACTAACGATCAGAATCTAACATACTGCCTTCTGAATTCCACTTCTGATTCTGTAAAAATAAGAATTCTGTACTGAAAGCTTCTTACAGTCCGACTTAGCCTAGAAGTGATGGTTCCACGGAGGAAGTCCATCTTTACATTCTGCCTTGCTTTCACCTTCACCTGCTCCTTCTCCGCCTCTTCTCATCACCTTTTCTTACTTCCTGAAGGATGCCTCTCAGAGGTATGTTCTTGATAATCCCTGTGCAACACCTTTATTTCTCAACTGCTGCCAGTGGCAAGTTTCAGCCATTATCAAAAATTATAGTGCATTTATTATAAGAATACATTCCAGCATTGACATTTAGTGATAGCCTCAGATTTGCAATATAACTCCAAAAGTGACTCTAGAAAGCTGTTCTCTTCCCTAGTGTGTTGTACTCATTTCCTCCACAAAGCTTTGCAATACACTTAAAAGATCATCCTTTCAGAAGAAATAATGCTCCTGGTACCTGTAGAGGTTAATATCTGCAAAGGATTTGCTATTGTTGATGGCAAAAACGCAGAGGAAGCCTTCCCCCGTCCTCATGTATTGGTCTCGCATGGCACTGTACTCCTCTTGGCCAGCTGTATCCAGAATGTCCAGCAGACAGGTTTCGCCATCTATAACCACCTGCTTTCGATAAGAATCCTGGGAGGATGGAAGGTGGGAAACAGGTGGGCAGGGAGGGAGAAAAAGGATTTTTATTTGTTTATTTTCTAACTAGTTTGTCCCCCAAACTGCAAATCTATTACCAGAAGCAGAAATTACTTATTTAAAGTTGCTTGAGAAAAAATGGGTCAAATTCTAGATGCCTGAAGAAAAGAAAATCACTCTATTCCTGAAAAAGATGAAACATCATGGTGGCCCTAGGACACTGAGGGGATAGACATTCAAATTCTAAACATACCTCCACCAATTACAACCTGCCCTTCGAAACAGAGTCATTTACAATTAAGTGTAAAACATTTTTTTTCAGGGAACATTATAATATCTTTTTTTTTTCTCATAACTGATTGCAACCTTGGGAAATATTTTTGGCTCCTAGAAGCTCTAATTCCTCAGGTATATAGATATGCATAGAGCACCTTAAAAATATTTCCAGGGCCCAGCATGGTAGCCTAGGCCTAAAGTCCTTGCCTTGTATGTGCCAAGATTCCATATGGGTGCTGGTTCGTTTTCCAGCTGCTCCACCTCCCTTTCATCTCCCTATTTGCGTCCTGGGAAAGCAATCGAGGACAGCCCAAATCTTAGGACCCTGCACCTGTGTGGGAGTCATGGAAGAAGCTTCTGGCTCCTGGCTTTGGATCAACTCAGCTCTGGCCATTGTGACTACCTGGGGAGTGAACCAGCAGATGGAAGATCCTTCTCTCTGACACTCCTTCCCTCTGTAAATCTGACTTTCCAATAAAACAAATACATCTTAAAAAATTCCACTGTGGCTTTAAGGCAATAACTTTGCTTTATTTGGAAATCAGAGAGACAGAAAGAAACAAAACTTCCGTCTGCTGGTTCACTCTCCAAATGCTCACAACAGGCAAGGCTGGGTAAGACCTGAAGTAGTTAGGTCTGTGTGGCTGCTCTGGGCTCCTGGCTTTAGCCTACCTACTTCAGGTCATTTCTTCTGAAACTCAAAATGAGATGGGGTCCTAAGTAGTGGTGCATTGGACATCGTTCTGCTTATATTTCAACCTTGTCATGACATTTGGAAAAACGCTTTTGGACAATGGGCAATGTTGTATATTGTTATCTGGGTGGTGCTTTTGTATATACAAACATAACCTGAGTGGTACCAGCTAGGAGCCTTGCTTCTGTCCCATTGCCTGTGTTTATCCGAGTCCTGGTGTTAGCTCCTAATTCCTGCTTCCTGCTAAGCTAGACCCTGTGAGGCAGCAGTTATTGGCTCAAACAGTGAGGCCCCTACCACCCAAGTGCAAAATCTAAACCGATCACCCAGCTCCCGGATTTGATGTGGTCAATCCCAGCCACAGGCATGTGAGGGGTAAACCAGTAGATAAAAAATCTCTGTAATACTTGTAAAGAAACAAACAAATATTTTAAAAACAAGTTTTAAAAAACAAGATTGTACACATAAGATTTATGTTTATGTAAATTAATTCTCAATAAATAAAACTAAAATTATATTAGAGCTTTAGAAAGTAAAGTATGAAAGCTGTTAAGCCTGAAATAATACTACCAAGTGTTAGCAATCAAATTCTAATACGAGCTACAGTAGTCAGTTTGCATTAATTAAGCATTCAGTAGACAGGTGGTAGGGAGGTCAGTGTGTGGATTAAGATTTTAAAATAATCTTTGGTCAATTCTAAATCAAACAAAGTTCTATAAGATGCCACCGTTCACAAATACTTTAAACACTGATTTTTCACATTCCTGCATGACAGCTAGGTAATGTTTACAGTAACTAATACATGTGTCTCAGAGAGATTGATTTTCTCACTATCAGTTAACTAAGTGAGCTGTAAAAATCCAAAGCATAATGCCCTAAATATTGCATGTTTTCTACTCCAACACACACAGTTGCCCCAACAGAGCTAAACAAAAGCTCAAATCTTGGGATTCTTTTATAAGACTACAAAAGGACCCAGCCCTGTAGCTTAATGCCTAAGTCCTAGTCTTGTGTGCCTGCGATCCCATATGTGCACTAGTTCATTTCCCAGTTGCTCCATTTCCCATCCAGCTCCCTGCTTGTGGCCTGGGAAAGCAGTAGAGGACAGCCCAAAGCCTTGGGACCCTGCACCTGCATGGGAGACCCCAGAAGCTCTGAGCTCCTTGCTTCGGAAAGGATCAGCTCTGGGAGTGTGGCTACTTGGGGAGTGCCAGCAGATGGAAGATCTTTCTTCCTGTCACTCCTTCACTCTGTTAATCTGACTTTCCAACAAAACAAATCCTTAAAAAAAATTACCATAAAAAGTTCCTGGAAAAACGGAATTTAAGGATGTTATTTTTGGGGAAAAAACCTTTTTTTTTTCCATAAGCATTTCCATGAACTTTTGAGGTCCTTCTGTATATACAATTTAAAAAATTCCTGCACCAAAATAAACTTACATTTTCACTTCACTTTTCCAGAAACAAAGTATTCTATCTCATATCCTGCATGTGGTGTCTATACCTAGGGCCTGTGCTTCCATTTAAAACAGCTGTCATAGGAGGCAAACCACTGCACGTGCAACAATTTACAGAACCTTTAAAAACAGCACGGGCCTTGGGAAATCTTCAGCAGCTAATAAGAAATCAAATTCTTCTCTGGAAAGCTTTACTGTCATGCCTCAGTACTTCATTTCTTTACTGCCTAGCGGGAGGCTGGTCAGTCATCACCCGCAGTCCTCACCTCTATGGTAGGATCATATTCATCCACAAAGTGGTTCTGGATTAGCTGGATTGTCAGCGCGCTTTTCCCAACACCACCTGCTCCAACCACCACCAGTTTGTACTCGGTCATTTCACACCAGCAAGAACCTATGGGACAGCAGCAAGGAGGATTAATGAGCAAGCCACACCTAGGGTACTTCAAAGCCTTCCATAATCAATGGTCAGTAAACCCGGGGTCTGCAGGCGGTCGCTCCCAGGCCCGGGACCACCCACTTAGTCCTTAACGTGATTAAGTACCGCAGGAACTGCAGGTGTGGGGGCCACCGATCCGGCTTTACACCGGTAACTCCCATCCGGCAGTTCTTTAACAGTCCTGGGGCTCCGCCCTCAGCCCAAGGTAGAGGAATCCCTCCGTGTGCCGCCCCCTCGCCTCTCTGGCCCCCGAGTGTTCCCGTTTCTGGGGAGCGGCAAGCACGCCGCGCTCCTTGTCCACCCTCGCCTGTCCACAAAGCTCTCACCGACGGCCCTTCACCAAGCCCCCCGCCCAAGGCCTTTGTCTCCGGCTCCCGGATTCCGCTCCATTCTTGGCAGCCAGCAAACGCCTGTCGGCTCTAGATCCCCAAGATACGCCCGCCAGACCTTTACCTCAAGCTCCGTTGCCTCCACTCCGAACGGATCGACTACAACCGGGAAAAATGTTGGAGACCCCGGAACCGCCATGAACAGCCCCCACCAGGGAGCGGCACTTCCGGCCCCGCCCGCTACGCAATCAGTCGGCGCCCGGACGCAGAGTCCCCGCCCCGGCCACGTGGCCTCCGACCCAGTCACGTGGCCGGCCGCGCCCAGACCCGCCCCTCCCACACGGGACGTCTCAAAAATGAAAGCACTAGGTGCTAGTGTCTCAAAAATCAGTAAAACTTTATTCGCTTCCATTCTTTCGCCATTAACATAAAATTGGAGAAAGCAAAAATGTTTCGTGTTTACAAAGATAAACGGCCTCTTTACCCAGAGATCAAAACCTCAAACGACAACGGGGAAGATAGCAGCGCCCTCCCCGCATCCCCTGAGCTGACCATGTCATCCTAGACAAAGCCTTCAGTCCACTGGCCAGGGACCCTGTGTGCGGCCAATTGAAGATGAGGGCCAAGAAATCAGACCAATCCATTCCCGTGATACAAAGTCGAACAGAAGCTACACCAAGGATCAAGTGCCTGTAATTTACAAGACACAGGAACCAGGTGGCTACTTATAAAAAAAACAAGATTCATTTCAGGCACAACTTTTTTTTATTATTTTTTTCTGTTTTGTTTTTAAATCAGTAAAAGAAACTGGGTCCTAGAAGCTGCAGTGGTCTAAGCAGCAGCAAGTTTGTGCATTCTTTCTTTTCGTTTAAATTATCGCACTGCTGGCACACCTTATTTGCATGAAATTCTGCACCATACATACTAATTGTAGTAAAGTTATCTACCCCCCATACCAGAAAGAAAAAAAAACCTACTCTGGAAGATAATTGTCATTGAAATCTAACCAAACTTCGTTAAGTGGATTGTGACAAGATTATAAATGATATGAAAATAACATTTTTAACATTTGGCCATCAACTTAAGAAAAATGGTTTACTTACACAAATTTTTGTACTTTTTAAAAAGGTAATAGTATCTACCCTCATATGGTCCTCAGAATTAAAGCATAATGAACAGGAAGGAAAGGAAAAAAATGCAACTGAGTGCTAAGGCAGAACTTCTTGCCCAAATAAATGAAGGTAGAGCATACATGAAATATCAAGTGCAGAATTTCATAGGGCCAGCAAGGTAACAGTCTATGTTTCACTTATACAGGCGAAGTGGATTTTGCAATTACCAGTTGCGTTAAATGCACCAAATAAAGCTCCTAAAATTGATACTATGAGGCGCCACCTTAAGTTTTTCAGGCTGCAACTGTGCATAATTTTAAAATGGTTTTCTTAAATTTATTTATTTTTTTAAACATAACACGAGGAAGGTGTTAAAACTGGTGTAATAGCTCAATAGAATAAGTATTCCAGATTTTGGGAGGGATGAAGAGGGAGATACTCAAAACCCTTCACCAGAATCCCCCCAACTTGATCATCGTGGATTAATGATGTGCTTTGTGGATGTGGTTAGTCAATGACACCAGCTTGACGAATCTTTCTTTCTGCACCAAATCCCTGTGAAGAAAATAAAACCACAATTAATGACATGGATGCACAACAATCACAGTATACTCACAATTCCACAAGCAAATAACCAAGTATTTTATTTTCAGTCATCTTAATTACTACCAATTCTTTCCTACAAGGAAAAGTCCTTTTGACTCTAAGCTATGTTCAAAACATTAAAAGTCAAGAAACGCTTCACAGTGTAAGCAGTCACTGCATTGGGGATGTGCCAATGTATACAGGGACCTATCTAGTTCTGTGCCAAGTGATGAAGTAGGGCACGGAAGCTGTGGGCACAATCATACCATTGAGTTATCTGGTCCCCTTGGCTGACGAAGAACCATGAGGCGAGGAGCACTGGCATCATCTAGGGTGGTGTTCTTCAAACGATTGACCAGGCGATCAGGTCGAGGAGCTGCAACGGCCTTGGGGCCCTCACTGTAATGAAGTCAAGATGAGAGAAGAAAGTGATACACTTAGTTTTCTTTCATAACTGCCCAAATGACTCATTTTTAATGAGAAAGACTATTGCCTCATCAAACCAGCTAACCTGACAAGAAAAGCAAGTTTGCTCACATGTATTTCCTCCAACTAAGGTTACAACTGCATTGAAGCTAGAATAAAAACACCTTTTACAATGACAAAGCAATCAGAATGACTAAGGTGTAAAAGTGAGAATCTGGGAGCAGGTATTCTGATACAGGAGTTAAGCTGTTGCTTGGGAAACCCGTACCTCACACCAATCTGCACCTCCACTTCTGATCAAACTTCCTGCTAATGCATCCTGGGAAGCAGTGGATGATACAGCCCAAGTGCCTGAACCCCGGCCCACAGCAGGGAAGACCTGAATAGAGTTCTAGGCTATGGCACTGCCTGGCCCAACCCTGGCTACTGCAGGCATTCGGAGAATCAGCAGATGGAAAGTACTTTTTTCTGGTTCTGCCTCTCAAAAAGATAAAAATAAGCTTAAGCACCATGTAGCCCAGAAATGATTTAATGTAAGAGCTAAGTAGCTTACGGAGATACTCAAGGACTTCAAAATCTTTTTATATTTTAAGAATTACAATAGGGCCCTGGTTCACATCCCGGCTGCCCCATTTTCCATCCTGTTCCCTGCTTGTGACCTGCTTGAAGGCAGTGGAGGCTGGCTCAAGTCCTTGGTCCCCTGCACCTGTGTGGGAGACATAGAAGTAGTTTCTGGCTCCTGGCTTTGGACTAGCTCAGTCTTGACCACTGCGGCCATTTGGGGAGTGAAGCAGCAGATGGAAGATCAGTCTCTCCTTCTGTCTGAAAATATACCTTTCCAGTAAAAATAGATATTAAAAAAATCTGGCATACATCATACTAGCAGAATGTAATGTCCAACTGTTTCATCAGGTCCAGTCTAGGAAACTAAAAAGAGTTAAACAATAAACAGCAGTTAGGCAAACCCCAAGAAATAATCAAAATATGGCAGGAAAGGAGGGAGAGAGGAAGAGATGGAAAAGTAAAGCAATACGATAAGGCAGAGACAATCCAGGGCGGTCATCAACCCAACCACAACCAGAATACACACCAGACTCGCCAGACATTGCAGGCGCTGCACTTGCCAGTGCGCTGATTAAGAATCACTGAGAACTCCACCTCGTCTCCTGCCTGTAGCTCAATGCCATCCTGAACTTCTTTCACATGGAAAAAGAGCTTCTTGCTATCTCCTACTTCATAGTTAATGAAGCCAAACTGCAATTAAACAAATAAAAACACAGATATAAAGGGAGGGAAAGCATCTCAATACTTTATCCTAAATAGAAGTGACACTTATAAAACATGGTATTAAAGTTGATCTTCCACTTTAGCTACCCAGGCAGAAAAACTTGTCTGGGAAGAAATTTATCTTTTGAAGCCATTGTCATTTACTATGGTATTACGACTGACCGAAACAAAGAAAAGGCTTCCTGTTCCTTCATATTGTGAACTGTTTTCTAAGTTAAGCAAAGTCATCAGGAAGTCATTGCTTGAACAACTGTATCACATCTAAAATTCTTAAGCTGAATTATTGTATTGTGGGAAATAGTCACAATACCCACTGTACTGATGCTGAAAAACGTTCTTGCTAAAGACTCTTGAGATCTCAGTATTATGATCAGTTTTGTCTGTTTTAGCTTATTTTATGAACACTTGCAAATATGGTTTATTTGTATGGTCTGGCAAAGTTCAGAACAAAAGTGTATAAACCTTTATAGTCTTTCTATATTCTGAAAATCTCAACTTAAAACTTATTTTCTCCATTATGCTACCGATTAACACCTTATTAATATAGTCACTGTTTTCAGGGTATTTTTCCTAGTTTCATAAACTGTATCATTCAAATCATTAAAATAGGAAAAACAAACAAAAACCAGATCAAAACAAAAAAACCCACACACCATACATGTAGATGCCACTTCACCTCGGCTGAAGAAATTCTTAAGTTTCAACTACTCTTAAACGCATCACACTCATACCTAGAAATATTGACACTTACCTGATCTTTCACACACTCCACTGTGGCCCTACGCAGGGGTGTGATGTTATAGGCCATTGTCTGTGCATTTTGGCCAAGGACACACAACTGGAACTTGACACTCTCCCCTTTCTGCAGGCAATCCCCTTTGTTGGCCATCCCAACTATGCCAAAGGGATAAACCTCTCCTTTCATATCCCCTGTAAGAAAAAAATAGAAACACATTTTTTCCCAGCTAAACTAGGCAGCATACAGAAAAAAAAAAAAATTCAATGCAGACAAATTTGACATTCCACATCCTTTAGTTTAATTCAAAAGAATAATTTTTTTTTTCATAAGATGGTATAAAACAAATTCTTCCTTAAAGGGCCAGAGAAAATATTTAGGGTTGCAAATTGTCCTGTCACAATTACCCAGTTCTGCTGTTATGGTGAGAAAGCAAGCAAAGATAGCATGCAAACAAATGGTCGTGATTGTTTTTGAAAGAAATTTTATTTAAAACCACGTTCTTTTCTGGTTGAACAATGACCCAAAGTAAAAAGTTACCCATAGACTAGTGCAGGTTATAAATGAAAGCAACTAGATTTCAGCTACACATTCCAAGGAATCCAATGAATTAATAAAGATGAAGAGAAAATTAATACGATACAGAAATTTCAGAATTGAAAATGCTTTTATCCTTCTTATACTAAGATTCATATATATATGAATGAAACAAAATCTCTGAGCATTCCAAATCCAAAGTGACCATAGGGTATAGACATTGGTGCCACAGCATACATGTCACTCGGGACTTCTGCATCTCATTCTGGAGTGCCTGTTTCAAGTGTGGGTCCACTCTCTATTCCAGCTGATTACTAATATGCACCCTGGAAAGCAGCAAATGATGGCTCAAGTACTTGGGTTCTTGCCAGAACCTGCTCTGACACCTGGCGTCAGCCTAACCCAGCCCTGGTTGTGGGCGTTCGGGGAGTGATCTAGCAGTTGGATTTCTGTCTTGCAAACTGAAAAACAATTCAGTTACATAGCTAGAAAGTATTTAGACTTAGGCTTGCCTGACTCTCAAGTCAGAATCTGTTACAACTGTGTAAATTGGAGCCCTACATAAAAATTACC